CCCCGGGGAGCGCGGGCGCACCCCGAGACGGCCAGGCAGTCTCCGAGGGCACTGGCTCTGCGGGGCGGACGCCGGGGAGGTTTCCTCCTCCAGGTGCAGCGGCACGGCGCCTGCACCTCCCGAGCAGGGAGCTCTGCTGCTCCCCGAGGGTCCCATTGCATGCACGTGGGTCCCAGCGCCGCGTCTCGTGCAGCACCGAAGAGCTGCCCCCGTCTCCCACCCTGCGCCCCCCACTGCGCCCTGCCCCCAGCAGCAACAGCGCTGCCTTTCTGGGGAAAACCCACACAGAGGAGCACTTCCATCCCCTGTCTGAAGCGTGAAAACGTCCTTACCTCTTGTGACAGAAAAGGCATGATCTGAGCTAAAATTGTATTCAGTCTTTTAGCAATTTCTGTCTAAAAAAAGGGAAGAAAAAAGACAGCAGTTAGTACAAAGCGGTCTTGTGTGGACTGCACAGAGACATTAAAAACATTAAAATTAAGCTTCTCAGAACAAGCAATTTGCATCTCCTCCCCATCCCTTCCTGGCTGCACAAGAGGAAGCAGCTACTCCCAAAAGAGGCAACGAAAGCGCACTCATGTGTGCTCCGCGCTCGCCAGCTTGGGAACACGGGCGCGCTCTCCCCACTTCATACTTTTTTGACATTTTGGTCCCGCTTCCATCACGGGACCGAGTGTTGCAAACCAACCCCAGCAGCTTCACACTAGCCTGTACTTCCTTTGTTTCAAGAAAATAGAGGTTAAAGACACAGACCGCAGTGGCAAGGCATCCTTGCTAGTTCTAGCCCGCTAGGATGCATCCCTTCAGTGCAAAGCTGAACTGCTACAAAAACAATTTTTAGCCTTCTAGCAACAACAGACTTACGGAAACTATTCATACTGGCTCTTCAATAACCTCCTCTCCAATATGTTACACAGATAAACACCACTTCATTTACTATCAAACAGCTAAGCCTGGGACTGCAGTGCGGAGCTGTGATTCTTGCTCATTTATCTGGGCATCCAACAGAGCACCCGATCATCAGGGTAGCTGGTGCTCCCCGAAGCGCGAAGGTCGAGTACTCATCTCTCCCACCACCCTGCTGCATTGGAAAGGGAGCCCGGCAAGGGCCCTGCTCGCGCGTGGAGCTGGTGCAGCTCCCTGCGTGGGAGGCAGCGCTGCACCGTGCTGCCTGCCACAATTCGGGAGACTTCTCCAACCGCACAGTTTCTGAAAAGACTGGATTATGTAAAATGGATTTTGCACGTTCAGCCCGAATCGTGTGTGTGACAGCTTGTCGAGATCACGTTCCATTCCTGGTGCTTATTTGCAGGAGTTAAGTTTCTTCATGAGAAACCTCTGCAAACATTAACCGCCCTGTGCATTAAGTGTTTAGTCAACAGAAAGTCTTGGCCAGTACCACGAACAATGTATGGTTTACTCTGATCTTGACTTCATCGAGATCTTTCCCCACCCCCAAACTAAAGCCATTTGAGCTACTTTTGCCATCCTTACATCACACTCAAGAAATTTAACCCATAACCATTTACACCTGTCAGCTTGACCACATAATTTAGGAGTTTAATAATAACAGCCTATGCTGTCAAAGTGTGGTTTCTGCAACATCTCTATTAACTTGGAATAACATTTTCCTCGAGTGAAAACCCGGATTCACATTTCATGCGAGTCAGCAGTTCGTATTTTAAACCCTGCTGCTAGGAGCTCCCATTCGGATCTGTCCCGTGCTCCCTGGACAACGCTCTTGCTCCACAAACAGACCTGAAAGTGGGCGTAGAAACACCACGGACCCAATCCAAGGCTACAGCACTGCAGAGAAATCTAAATTTCATGGCGGGCAGGCCCTATCCTGACATTTAGCACCAAGACTCCCAGCCGCACGAGGACCCCGAGGCGGAGGGCCATGACGCGACAGCCGGGCAGACGAGCCCCGCGCAGCTCCCGGGGAAAGGCTCCGCATTAAAGCCCCGAACGCAGGCGCTTGGAAATGCGATTTCAGCCCCCAGAGCTCCAGCCAAGAGGAAAAACCCACTTTGACCACGTACTACGGCAAGTAAGAAATTCAGCACCGTGCACCCCTGAGGCTGGTGCCAGCGCGCGGGGCTACGCCAGCAGCACCGGAGCTTCCTGCAGGATTCCTGCGGCATCGCGGAGAGCACGCCTGCATCTCAAGAGTTAAGTCGGGCAGCCGTACCGACCAAGGCAGCTGTTAAAACAGCTCTTGGTCCAACTCAAACAAGGTCTGAACAGCCATAAAGATTCAATGCGGCAACAATGGTCAGAGCGGAGCCCTGGAACGCAATCAAACGCCAAAAAATTCCTTCTGATCGCTCCAAACAGCTCGTTATCAATAAAACAGAAGTGATTAATTAGGTCTCGCTCCAGCTTTTCCCACACACCACTCTCGATCTGCAAGGTGCTTCTTCCACGAGATGGCCAGAAGCTATCCTCTTGGTGAGAAAGGGACAGAAACGCTGGAAATCCAAATATTGTAGTTTTGAGGGGGGAAATTCACGCCACTTGCTTCAGGGAATTGGGTAGAAGCTAGAAGCGCTTCGTCAGGATTGGCCTAATGCTAGGTTAGAAACCAAAGCAAGAAAATGGCTGATGGGTCACAGAACACCAATACTGCAAGCAGGCGCTTGGAGAACCCCAAACCTTCCTAACCCAGACTTATGCCCGCAGAGGAAATTGCTCCCAGGAGACAGCGCATCCCACTAGAGCTCACAGGCTTACTCCGAGAGCCTCTTACAAACCACATTTGGTCATGCAATGGCACATTGCTTAAAACAAATAAAAAGGCAGTATCTTTATTCTGGCATTGCTAGTTTGCACTTCAAAGAGATGGTGATATTTCTGGAAGTCTTTTCAGAAAGCATCCCGGTGATCAGATTACACCTGATGCTTTTATTAGCTCTTTTAGAGGTCATGAGATTTTGCTGGGTCTCTGTTTCAAGCAGGAGGCATCTGAAAGTTACTGCATTTTAGATTCAGGTGCGCTAGCTACAGTCTGAAGACATCAGTACTGTAATGACCTAAACACCAGGATGCAAGGTTCACGAGGAAGTCTATACATTTAAGATATCCTTGCCCAGAAGGGAGAGGAACCTCCTGAAGTTCAACAAAGGCAAGTGCAGGGTCCTGCATCCAGGGAGGAACAACCCCATGCACCAGCACAGGCTGGGGAACTGACCTGTTGGAAAGCAGCTCTGCCAAAAAGGACCTGGGAGTCCTGGTGGACAAGTTAAGTATAAGCCAGCAATGTGCCCTTGTGGCCAAGAAGGCCAATGGCATCCTGGGGTGCATTAGGCAGTGTTGCCAGCAGGTCGAGGGAGGGGATCCTGCTCCTCTCCTCAGCCCTGGGGAGGCCTCACCTGCAACACTGTGTTCAATTCTGGACTCCCCAATACAAGAGAGACATGGAGCTCCTGGAGACAGTCCAGTGAAGGGCTATGAAGATGATCAAGGGACTGGAGCATCTAGGGGACTGAAGCATCTCTCCTATGAAGGAAGGCTGAGAGAGCTGGGCCTGTTTAGCCTGGAGAAGAGAAGACTGAGAGGTGATCTCATCAACGTGCAAAGGTTGTGAAAGGGGGGGGGTGTCAAGAGGATGGGGCCAGGCTCTCCTCCGTGGAGCCCAACAACAGGACAAGAGGCAACGGGCAGAAACTGAAGTACAGGAAGTTCTATTTCAATATGAAGAAAAACTTCCTCACTGTGAGGGTGACTGAGCACCGGAACAGGTCACCCAGAGACACTGTGGAGTCTCCTTCGCTGGAGATATTCAAAACCCGCCTGGACATGATCCTGTGCAACGTGCTCTAGAGGACCCTGCTTGAGCAGGGGGGGTGGACCAGATGATCTCCAGAGATCCCTTCCAGCCTCGGCCGTTCTGTGATTGCGTGCGAGGAGAAAGGGCTCTGGCCAGCGCGAACTTCCAAATGCGTTCGCCAAACGCAACTTCATCTCGCTAGTCTTAAACGCGCTTTGGACTTTTCATCCGTAGTTCCCAAAACATTTTTTGCAAACGTCACACTGCCAAGCTGCTGGGAGCACACGGGAAAGGTGTCCGAGAAACACCACCCGGTAAGGCAACGCCGGCACCCGAGCTCAGCCCGACCTGCTCGTTCAGGCTGCTCCAGCCAGCACCCGCTACCTCCGCCCTGCGGGACTGCTCGGCTCCCTGACACCGACTCCCCATGCTCTCCTAAACAAAATCAGGCCATGAGCTAAAATGCAAAAGTTAAACCAAGCCAAGGTGCCGCTTGCAGACGGGTGTCGCAGCGCAAGGAAGGTCGAGCGGGCCGGGATCCGCGGAGGCGCCGCCGGCCGCGGCCCGGCTGACCCGGGCCGGCAGCACACAACGACTTCAAAGCGCGGCGGTGCCACAGATAACCACGGTGCTGCTTACATCACAAATTGCTCGGCGATAGGTAAACCTCTTTAAAGGCCTTTTTGGCATTGACGTATTGATTAGATTATATATAAACTACAGCTCCATTAAAAATTTATTCCTTCAGATGAAACCTATTGGATTCTTGATGCAACAAGCACTAAATGCATTGCTCTTTCAGGGCGATTACTCCTCAGGAGGAGCCTAGCCCCTCACAAATTCTAGAACAAATTCAATCCTTACTTGAAGGGAAAACAGTGGTGCCAGCACGAGCTGGAAAGGTCGTTTAGGTGTAAAGGAAGGAAAGACTCCAACATCCAAACAGGTCGGCGCAGCGGAGGAAGGAGAGGCGGCTCCTGCGCTGTCGAGCACTGCCGCAGTCCAGACAAAACGCACAAAGGACAACTGCCCTCGGATTCAAGTCCGGTTTTGCCCAATCTTCCAACCAGAATTTGAGGAAAAACTTCATGCTCCGCAAAGAGAGAGACTTCCCACGTGGAACTCAGCAAGCAAGAACGTATTAGATGTCCAAAGCGTTACGTTTACAGCTGTGAGGTTTCCTGTTAGCATGCGATTCAATCATCCTTAAGTGTTCCTTCACTCCAACTTTCCCCGTTCTCAGGCGTATTGAACTCTGGTTGTGCCCGCTCAAAGCTTGACCGGGAGGGAGAGGGGCTGGTGGGCTCCCGGGGAGGAGGCGAGGGCCTCACGCCGCCCCCGTCGCGGGGCGGCCCCTTCCGCAGAGCGCGAGTCCTCCGC